AATCATCCAACCATAATACGTTACGTCAAAGGTGTGTTTAATTCTCGTAAGCCAGCTCCTAGATACGAAGAGACATGGGACGTTGCACCTGTCTTAAGTTCCATAGGACAATTATTTCCGCTTGAGAAACTCTCCCTGAAGGAACTTACTTTCAAACTAGTCATGCTGCTGGCCTTAACATCAGGGCAAAGGTGCCAAACATTAACTTATCTGGACACTGGAGCCATGACAAAAACTTCAGACTATTATGTATTCCATATCCAGAAGCTTGTGAAGCAAGATAGACCAGGCAAACTTCTTTCTTCATTGTTTGCAAAAAAGTACCCAAAAGAGGAGTTGTKTGTATATACTACGCTACAACACTACATCGAGAGAACAAAAACGTTCCAGAACGTACGCAATTGATGTTATCATATGTAAAACCTCATCGCCCAGTGGGTTCGAGTTCTATTGATCGCTGGATTAAAATGCAAAAGCAAGCAATGTAATGACCACGGATGAAATACTCAAACATGTAGGGTGGTATCAAGAATCRACGTTTCAGAAATATTACAATAAACCAGTAGCCAAGAACATTCAATTTGACACGGCAGTGTTGGAATAAAGTTAATGTTTGAAAGAAGGTTACTGTGTCCATGATTATTGCTTTAAAATCTCATGTTAACCGGAAGTGATGTCACTGTGATTTGGTAGAATTAAAAAAATAAACGAATTATCTACAGTTCTGCTTATAATCAGCTTTCCAGTATATTCATAATCATGTCCACAAATTTGTAAAAAGTCTGACTATTCATGGCGGCACATGTGCATCTCATGTTAACCCTCACCGGGTCAACTGGATTTGGTAGAATCACAATCAAACTTCACCTTACAGGTAAGTCTCATTTAATTTTTTAATTAAATTTTGGATGATTTTAAACTACACAATAATGTGAAAAGCCAAACAATACCTCTTTAGTTTGTACAGACAGACTTAGAAACATTTCTGATAAGTCATTAAGACTTAATAAGCTTACAAACAAAAACAATGTGACATTTTCTGAACAATGGTATGTGTTATGTCAATAGCAAACATTAGCAATTCCATAGAATTGATATTATTGGTCATTATTTATTTAGTTGTTATAAGGATGATCACTTTTTTAACATAGTGGATATAACACTTTGAAATAAATGACAATTTCATGTTGTATAATTTCTATATGTACATTTAATGCTTTGTTTTTGAAGATCTTAGAAGCTTATTTGCTGGTTGTAGTGTCCATACCCCTATATATTCCAATATGTACATGTTACTATAACTCAATAATCAAAAGTTGTTGTGCAAAGATATTTCAGGCCATTAACCCTGAGGTACTAGTGTACTCAAAACTACAAATAATTATAAGAATAATGAAACTTGATTTTGGGCCCTGAGTGGACCCAACTTTGRCACCCTGATTGTGCTCAGGCTGTCTATAAGCACGCTTGTCTTTTAAGCAATTATTAAGCTAAGTTATTTGATAWATAACATTACAACTCACTCAAAATCAAAAGGAATTACAACAAAACTTAAATAATGATGATCATTGCTAAAATATGAAAGTTATAAGCTGTAGAGTATTCTTCTTGAATATTGTTAAAATAAAATTATATTCTTCTTTAAGGAAAAACGTACCTAGAAATGGGAGTAATAAGTACTCTTACTTTACGAACTCGTCCAGTACTCTTTCCAGTTATTGCTGCGAACGAGCGCAGCTTACTATTTCAAACAAAAATGGGATCCCTGTGTCGCACGATAATATTCATTTCAAAGTCGATATTTTGGAGTTTGAGGCGATGTCCATAATTCTGAGCCAGCATATCTCTTAATCAGCGGTTAACATTTCTGAGTCACAGTAGCTACGTAATCAGTGGTAATCAACAAAGAAATATGAGGCATCTAGCAYGAGGTCGCTCTCTTTGCTCTGCACGTTTGGATGAAAAGGTTTGTAGAGAAGTTTATTATGTTTGATTGTGATTTATTCATTCGTGGGAGTATTCATCAAGGTAATCATTGCTTCAGCGATATTTCTAGGGGAAGACAGTGTGCTTTTTTCTTTCAGCATTGTTGTGGGCTAAATCGTTCGATATTTCGACATGGAATTCTCAGATCACCGACCAAATTCTAATCGAAGGAGATGCCATGTACCTCAAGTCTTTTGAAGACCGCTCGATGCCCGATGAAGAGACGGTTTCTTTGAACTATTTGCCTGATCGAGTCCTTTTTCCAACGATACAGGGGCAACTACCACACAATCAACGAATTGACTTGTGTCAACAGCCTAGCATGGCAAATACCTATGTCACCTATCAAAACGAATCGCCCAATGAGGCAAAAAATCAAAAACAAACACCTAATATGGTGCAAAATGTTGATCTACCTAACTCGGTAGAGGCCAATGAGCCACAAATGAACTCGCCTATTACCTGAATTTACAAAGAGCCTTGATGAGTACTTTTTCGAATGATAATTATGCATTTATAGTTTTGGATGGCTACATAATGGCATTGATTAAACACACAGACAATTGTATTTATGTTTTTGATTCTCATGCACGGAATGAATGTGATATGCCTGATGATAATGGTACTGCTGTTGTTATGAAATATTCAGACATCAACAATTTACATCATTATATACACTTCCTTGCCATTGATTTAAATAGTCAGTTCTTTGAAATAATGCCTGTTCGATTTTCTTCATGGAATATTATGCCATATAGTGCAACCATGTTAAAGTTACGTAAACAAACATTTGATACATTAACTAATGTCGGCATAGAAAAAAAACGTCAGGAAGAAAGAATGTATAGAAAAAGGAAACGCTTAGAGGAAACAACATCTCAAAGAGAGATTAGACTTGAAAAGATGAGGCAAAAAAGAAAGTTGACTGAGACACAAAATGAAAAATTGAGTAGATTAGAAGMAAAAAAATATCATGATCGCAAAAGTATTTCTTCTGAAACTGAACGTCAACGGCGAGATAGATTAGATGCACAGAATGCTTACAAAACAAAGAAAATTTCTGAAGAAACTGAATGTCAAAAACAGTGTAGATTAGAAATCAAAAGGCAGAACTACAAGAGAAARAAGTCGGAGAAAGCATCGATAGCAAATGCAGCAAATGCTCAGAAGCAGTATTTACAGATGTTTGATACTACTGAAAATGGTTTCCTTCATGAACTGAGCTGGGCAAAGACAAATATATCAAACTTTCACAAATCAATTTTGTATTTTGTTTTTAAATGCACAGTATGCCATGAGGCATGGCCTTTGAAATCAAAACTAAGAGCTCCACATTCTTATGTATGTTCAAGATGTTCAAGGGATAAAAAGTGTCCCAAACAATTTTCAGTCGAAAATTCCACGATTCCATCACCAGTTCCACCTCAGTTACAGGGTATTTCATAAGTTGAAGAAATGCTTATATCCCGTGCTCTCCCTATAATGAGAGTTTACATTAAGCCAGGAGGGCAAAGGGGTTACTCTGGCCATTGTATTAATTTACCTCAAAATGTAAAAGAGCTTGCATTGACATTGCCTCGATTTTCTAAAGACTTATCTGTGATAATTGTTAAAGTTAAAGGACGAAATGACACATTTAAAGATGTAATTGAACGTAAACAAAAAATTAGTGATGCATTAGTATGGTTGGTGCAAAATAATCCCCACTATTCTGATGTACAAATAGATCATGTAGCTTTAAGTGCGTTACCAGACAATGACATACCTTCTGATCTGTTAACTGTGGAGACAGATGAGACTACTGATAATGAGCCAGATTTGGGCCCACCAACCGATAATCCTAGTGAGGATAGAGTGTTTAATGAGTCTACTGAAATGAGCAGTTTTCTTCCTGTTGGTGAGCAACAAGAACAGGAAATAGATGCTGTTAGACAACAGCTGTCAGAAGATGAACCTATGTCATGGCCTACTGTTGAGGATCAGCCTTTGAATGAATATCAGAAACCATTTACACGCCGTGTAAAAATTAACCCATCTGAAGATGATTCTGACATAACATGTATAAGTAACTCGCTTCTTGATGTTTATGCTAATCGTGAACAATATGATGTATCCCCACAAGTTCTCAATATGAATTTTGTACAATTTGCTACAACTTTCAGACTTTTGAATGGAAAATTAGAAAAATTGCCTCAAAATGCGATTCCACGTATTTTTCCAACATATTTTTCTAATCCAAAAGGACCAAATTTTGTACAGTATTGTAAGTATCAACTTCTAAGGTACAAGCCTTGGAAAATAAATGAAAACAATGCCTGGGAAGGTGATCAACCAACTGATGACACACTAATCAATTCATGGTATGATTTCTTGCAAACAGAATATGCACAGAACAATGACTGGTTTGATAAACTCCACAATGTTATCCAAAATCAACAAAGTGAAGTATATGAACATTCTTACACAGAGCCAAACAACTGAGAAGAATGGATGATAATATCAGAAAGAAATACCCTATTTGAAAATAGTGCACAATCATCATGTGAAACATATGATTGGCAATGTGATAGACTACAATACACTGAACAACAAATTGGTGAAATGCCTTCATGGAAAAAAMCAAAAAGGAACTTTCATGTCATTTGCAAAATGAAAATAGTGTTGAGGCAGATATTAATTCTTTTAGTGAAATGCAAAGAATTGCATATGACATTGTTAACTGTCATCACTTAGATGACTGTAGTGACAAGGAACCATTGTGTCTAATAATCCTAGGTGTGGCTGGTACAGGCAAAAGCTACCTTATCAGTGCTTTTCATAGCTTATTGCAAAACAAGTGTGTAGTCACTGCTACTACTGGGAAARCATCATACAATATCAAAGGCATTGCAATACATTCACTACTTAAATTACCTGTAGGTCCCAGGGGAAACAAAGACCTTTCAGGGCCAAGCCTAATAAGGCTGCAAGAAAACACAAAGAAAATACAATATATCCTAATAGATGAATATTCAATGCTAGGTCAAACAACTTTAGATTGGATTGATAAACGCTGTAAGCAAGCAACAGCCAAGTATAACAAGGTTTTAGGTGGTCTTTCAATGATCTTAATTGGTGATCCTGGTCAACTGCCCCCAGTTGCAGATAAGCCTTTGTATCATGCTCACCCTTCTAATCCTATTGGAGAACAAGGATACCTGACATATAACATGTTTGATAAGGTTGTTAAGCTTACAGTAAATCAAAGAGTTCAAGGCTCCTCTTATGAACAACAACAATTCAGGGAATTATTGTTAAGGCTTAGAAAAGGTGAATCAACTCTTGAAGACTGGCAATTGTTGCTAACTCGTCAACCTTCTAATGTGGATAATATTGCTGATTTTAATGAAGCTACCAGATTATTTTACAGTAATGAAGAGGTTTCTTCGTATAACTTTGAACAACTTAAAAAACTTCGGCAACCATGTGCTAATATAAATGCTCCTCATTCATCAGTTACAGCTAAAAATTTACCATCAGATGAAATGTCTGGCTTAGAACCAACAGTATATCTTGCTAAAGGAGCTAAAGTCATGTTCACAATGAATCTTTGGGCAAGCGTTGGCCTTTGCAATGGAGCAACAGGAACTATTGTAGATATAATATATGCAACTAACCATCAACCACCTGATTTACCTATAGCTGTAATAGTAAGGTTTGATGACTATAGAGGTCCTTCTTTTACTGTAGATCAACCATCATATGTACCTATTGTTCCTATCACAGTATCCTCTCAGTCAGTTGAAGGTGTTCATGAAAGGCAACAGCTTCCTCTCAAGCTTGCGTATGCTCTCACTATTCACAAAAGCCAAGGTCTTACATTAAGTAAAGCATGGGTAGATATTGGGAAATCAGAAAAAACTCCTGGCATATCATATGYAGCCACAAGTAGAGTAAAAACTCTTTCATCGTTGGTAATTGAACCAATGACATTTGAAAGGTTAACAAATGTTAAGGCATCTTCAACATTGCAGTATAGGCTTCAAGAAGAATCTAGATTAGATGATATTGCAAGTTCAACACGCAGTCCTTTCCATTTTGCTTGATACAATTCCTCATAAATAACAGATTTAAAATAGACTAGATCAATTAGGTTTTTGTACTTGGTGTAGGATTAAAGCAATCACATCATTAAGTCAATTTTTTAACCTTAAAATAATATATAGAGAGCAATATAAATTGTCTTATTTATCGTGCATTAAAATAATATTTATTGCCCAACAAATCACTTTGATATATGACTATGTACCTATATTTACAGTGTACATTTTCTTCTCTCCCTCTAGTGCTTAGTCTATTCATCATGGAAGTGTTAATATTATTGTATACACCAAATTGCACAACATTATGCATGACAATATGGCTTATATGCATATTAGAGCTTTACGGATACATTAACAATTGTAAAGAGAATGATATTCAGTGTATAATAAGTATGTGATATCGTAAATGCTTTTGTTATTGATATTGTTTTTTTTAATGTAGAGAACAATAATCAAGAATCTAAAGATGGAGGAATGCAAGGTATAGATAAGCTTTCTACACATTAATACTCGACAAGATGATACATAAAATACTTTTCTGTACCATTCACTGAACACATTCCCAAATAACTATTGAATGCACTACATTTTCATGTTCCTAACCATTCTTCCATGACTTAAAGCTGAACGTACCCACCAAACTTTCAAAAACAAACTTAACCTATCCTATATCTTTCGCAGACAATGACTTAGTTAAACATGAAGATGAACAAAATGGTATTTCTGGGTACATACACAATGTTTCAGGGATACAGCAGAATGATAAAAGATTTCAGTGGTTTGACTGTGAGGTGCAATTTGAAAAAGGAACTGTTAGAGCAGTTAGTTTTGACACCAGCACAACAGCCAGAGACAAATTTGTTAATGCTCCTAAATCAAAGTCTCCTGTCAAGATAACTCAAAGCCTATTGATATTATACTAAAGAAACCAAGCTAGAGGAGTTGACTAGCGTCTCCTTTCCATTCAAAGATGCCCCAACAACAAAAGAAGTAAAAATTGGTGATCTCAATATGTACAGATCTTCACAATTGCTTTCTCTGACAGCTCTTGTCACCAATGTACAAAATCCTAAAGATGTTACTATTAAAGCCAAAAACAAAACGGTATCGCTACAAGAGTGCCAGCTAACAGACCCAACAGGCAGAATAAAATTAGTTATGTGGGAGGAATTTGTTCACAAATGTCAAAATGGCAAAACCTATAGGTTTGAAAACCTACACCTGAAATCTAACAAAGCTCAAAAGTCATTAAGCACATCACAATCAAATTGTTACATATCAGATGCACCTCCATTCACCAACTTAGACACGCCAGAAGAATTGCCATCCAATAATGTAACAAAGAATGTCACAATACACAGATACTCTCAAATATCAATGTATTCTGCATGTGACATGTTTCAAGAAAGTGGAGGACCATCCCCACGCTGTGGTTTTTCTGATATGCAGATTGCAATGGCAC